GTGCCCATCAGTAAATGAATGGATCCAAAAATTGTGGTACATATACACCATGGAATTTTATGCAGCAGAGAGAAAGAAGGAACTACTACCTTTTGCAACAACATGGATGGAACTGGAAAGCATTATGCTGAGTGAAATAGGCCAGGCATTGAAGGACAAATACCATATGATCTCACCTTTGACAGGAAGCTAAAGAATAAAACAAACAAGCAAACAGAATAAAAACAAAGACGCTGAAATAGAGAACAAGTGGGCAGCGACCAGAGGGGAGAGGGAAGGGAACTTAAGGGGAAAAAGGGGGGAGGGATTTTGAGGAACAAGTATGAAAGACACAGAGATGAGGACTGGGGGGGGGGGGAATGGGATGGAGGGGGGAGACGGGGCGGAGGGGGGGGAAGAGGAGAAAAAAAATGTAAAAAAAAAATAAAAAAAAAAGTAAAAAAATAAAAAAAAAAAAGACATTAACCCAGAAGTGATTTCTTAAATGTGCTATCTAGTAGATGATATCAGTTAGAGATATGTATGTCTGGAGATACTATTGAATATCTGGGGGTAGCAGGGACAGACTAGGGGGATGTTGTTAGGACTACTAAGTACCCTAAAGTGACACTGAATTTGACTTGCTCTGCATGCTGACGGTGGCAGCCCCCCAAATCATGCAGTGCCAGGGAGTGGTTCTGGAGAAAATTGTTCAGGTTGCAAATATTTCTAAAATGGAAAGATAATAGGAAAGATTTTTGTGCACTTTTGGAAATGTTTCCTTTATTCTATATTTTTGAAACCTTTAATGTGAGTGTTTTGTTTTATTTTCTGGTGAAATATCTGCATTATCCATATGGATGAAATAATTTTAACACTTTTCATTCCTTCCCCACCTCAGCATCTTCTGTTCGCCTTTGCTCTCCCATAACTGTCTTCATTTTATTTTTCACTCATTTCTTTTTCTGTGATGTCAAAATATTTTTTCCTTCTCATTTATGTCATCCTTTGAAAGTCTATGTTGGGGATTTTATTATATTATATTATTTTATCCTAATTAAAAGAATATAAACCATATATGTCTGTTGCTTTGCCAAAAGGACTTCTGTGCCTGAAGTCCAAACTAATAACCAGTATCATCTCATAAATTTGACTAGTATATCAGTCACAAATAATGTTGCTTTCCCAGGTAAAGAAAATCTTTGAGGTACTCTTCCACCAAAGCACTCATTTGCCCTACGTTTCCTACTCTGAAAGTTGTTGAGTCAGTGGAGATGGCAGCTGGTTATTTGAGCAGCAAAAGAGGTATCTTTATACCCTAACACCAGTCCTCTAATGAGAACTGTCTTACCCACTGCCAACTGCACTCTGAAGCAGAGGTCAAAATTAACTTCTTAATACTCAATTCCAGGTACTGTATTATTTTTTTTTTCAGATATAGCAGCAGCTAAAGGAAGGGACATATTCTATTTTTTTTGTTTCTAGTGAAAAAGTTACAGATTTTTTTCACAGCAGTCCATAGTTAGGCAGTTTTTATTAATATAATGGGTAGAAATGAAGGTAATAGTAAGAAATACTGAGCTGACCAGATTTAAGAAGGTCATGTCTAATTCCAACAGTTTCCAGAAACCAGTGTTTCTGCCCCTGAACTCTCACAGGTAAAGAACTGAGAAGTCTAAGGAGAAGCATAAAATTGTCCATAGGACAAAAGTGTCTATAGGTAGTGAGCATAGTTGAGTGGTTAATTGCTATTATTACTCAATTGGCTGCTGAGATTCAAGAAGAATAGTCAGCCAACAAATCCTTCACAAGGAGGAAGGACTGTATCGCCACCATACTTTAGGTGCTGAGGAATGCAGGGGAAAACAAACAAGTTTAAAGACGAGAGAGTTCAACACATATATTCAACAAGTTACCACAATTTGTTAAATAAATTAATTCAAGGTTGCAAAGAAATATAGTGGCCAACAATGGAAACCCCACACATACGAACATGCATGTGTGCACACATGGAACAGAGCTTGAAATGAATCTACCACCTTGAGTGACAGCTTGGCTAGTTCATAACAAGCAATGTAAATAACAGCTTCTGTATAGAATTTACATGTACCCTTTCTCTATCATTGTTTATAGCTGCTGAAAAGAATAAGCAAACATGAGTTCTACTGATGTCAACAGATGAAGAAAATTAGTTGTTGAAGAAAATTTATTCAAAATGAGTGATTGTATGTGTTCTGATATGTGGCCACTGGAGCCAGATTGGCTTCTGTTCTATATTTGTCTGCTACTTACTAATCTGTCATCTTGGACGCTGCATCTGTAAAGCAAAGGTGAACCACCACATTAACAACCACATAGGTTGTCATAAGGGTTGAATGAGTTAATACATGTAAAGCACTTGGCACATGTGAAGTGCCTGCCGCCGGGTAAGTGCTCTACACATGTCATGTACCCACTGGTTTTGTTCATGTGGGCCTTTCTTTTAGCCAACTAATTGAACACAATAATATTGAATCTCAATATTATTTTTTGAGTAGGGGGTATTTCTGTCAGAAGTATACCGGGTAAGATTTAATAAGTATAGATAAGTATTAAATACTTATTAATAAGTATTTAATAAGTATAGAAATTTACCACAGCATTTGTTGTCTTTAAGGATGAATTTCAGTGAGAGCGTTTACTGAACGACAGTATTTTCAAATTTAGAATGTGACATTTACTCTGATATTGTTAGGAGTGAAAAACTGTAGTAGGTAGGTAGTCCTCATGTATATTAGTTTCCTTTAGGCTTATTTTTAGAAAACACATTTGTCTTATTATCTGAATATACTTCAACCTATTTAACCTACTTGTGACAAAGTAAGGAATAAGATAGCAGAATAGGAAAAGTGTGTGGAAGCTTTTAATACATGTGTTAGTAGAGGAAGACCCTGGGGAAAGTCCTGGGACCGAGAATCTGTCTCCTTCAGCAGTAGGGAAAGAGGTTGCCCCTTGCAGTGTGATAATTAGGAGAGTTTATTAAGGGAAACTTACATCAAGGTGGGCCTTGGGGGACTTCAAGACAAAATGGATCCCTATCCCACTTGGCATGTGCCATAGAGTTACATAGGACAAGGTGAGATAGTCACCAATATGAGTGCATGGATGCTACCGGGTATGAAAATTACTTCACCTGCCTAACCAGGTCAGGATAACGGCCTGCTCCAGGAACCAGGATGTAGCAGGGGGCAGTGGAAGGGGTTCCGGTAAGTCAGGACGAACATGAATTACAATCAGTCAGTGTCTGAGGGGAGTTTGTAGTAAGAATCTCCTTTCTGGTCCTGGGGCTAGCTTATGCATCACACTGAGGAAATGCCATGGAATTGTCATCTCTCTCCCACACAAGGTGGAACACCTTAGAATATGAAGTTCTTCAGTGCTATTAATAGGCATGGCATCATGGACAGTTTTTCAGACTTTGTGCTTCACTCTGGGGAAAGAATTTAGCATCTTGAATTTCTTCATTGGGTAACTTAGAACCCAGTTATGTGAACACCAGCTGCACATATCATGTTACTTGAGTTCGGCATCAAAGTTATAAATGAAACTAGTCACATGTTCTTTCAAAGCTACTGCGAGTCAAAACAAACATCCAAATAAAACAAAGTAGTATGAACAGGTATGATCATAAATCTTTTTATTAACTCTGGTTTGGGCTTTTAAAACCCTCATTTAGCCCTGACAGCATGGCTCAGAGCATTGGGTGTCACTCTCGCAAATAGAAAAGACTTGGTGGGATTCCCATCGGGACAGCCTCTGCCTTGCGTCAGGGGTTAGGGGCCTGTGGGAGGCAGCAGATCTGTGTTTCTCTAGCACATGGATGTTTCCCTCTCCATCTCCCCCCCTTTTACCCTCTCTCTAAAAACAAATAAATGCAATCTTTTTTTTTTGCCAGATGGCAGAATTTTATGGTTTTATCAACACAAATACAATGTGTACACAATCTGTCTATTCATTTTCTTCGCTGCAGCTTGGCACTGGGATAGGTGATGTGATGACCAGCTGGGCTGCTCTTTCCACAATGGCATTGCCATTCTTTGAGGGGACGTGAGCAATTTCAACACAGTAACATTTGTTGCACATCAGCACTTCAGGCTCCTTGACGCTGTGGACCAGGAACTTCCGAAAGCCACTGGGCAGCATGTGCTTTGTTTTCCTGTTGCTCCCATAACTGATGTTGGGCATCAAGATCTGGCCTTTGAATTTTCTGTGCACCCTATTGTCAATACTTCTGGATTTCTGCCAGTTTGCTTAATTTTTACATATCAGTCTGAATGGTGCAGGAGGAACTTCTGTGTCTTCTGACAATCTTGGGGGTCTGAAGGCAGCCATGGTGTTAAGAGATGGTCGCCACCAGAGCATTGAGGAAGAGAGAAAGGTGGCCTGGGAGGCCTCATGAGACTAAAATCTCTACAAAAAAAAAAGTTAAAAAAACTCATTTAAAATTCTTAGTTTCCTCTACTCAAACTACACTAGCTAATGTATGTGTGCTTACTATATTCCAGATGCTATACTAGACACTTGGTATATTAGTCAGTTTTTATTCTAATGAAAAAAACTATACTTTCAGCTTTTAAATAATACAGCAACCTCAAGGAGAAGAAAGTGGGGTCAGTACCAAAAACGTAAGTATGTAGAGTCTACAGACCAGTGTTCTTTGTAGTTTTATGAACTAAAAACCTGTAGAATTTTTATTACTATTTTAGAAAGGCCACTGGTGTTTTTCAAGGGTGCTTGTTCCACTTGGTCTGTCTCTGATGTCTATTAACCAATAAAACCGGTCTCACTCCGCTGCTGTGGAAAATAAACAATAACGGAAAAGTAATAACTTTACAGCTTCATTCGGTTGCCTGAACAGCGAAGGAGTAGGGAGAAGAGTCCCTCAACCCCCATTCTTCCCGGTGCTCCGGAGCTCAGCCTCCGCCCCTTCCTGGGGCGGAGCACCTGCCGGCTACAGAAGAGGCGGAGGGGCTGGAGGCGGGGTCCCGGGGACAGGGCACCGGTCTCCGGTGAGCGGTGCAGCCAGCTTGCACCAGCCCCGCGAATTCTCGCGGCCTCTGGGAGCATGCGCACGCTGCGCTAGAAGGAAGCAATCAAGGTGGCATTCGAGCGGAGTGCTGACAGATCACGGGCTTTGGGCGCGATGGGACCTGGAGAGGAGGGACCTGGAGAGGAGCGACCTGTGGAGGGCGTAGCCTCTGAGTTGGACCTGCTGAAGCTGCGCGCTGCGGAGCGCATCGACGAGGCTGCCGGCCGCCTAGGGGCCCTGAGCCACGCCATCTGGAGCGAGCCCGAGCTGGCCTATGCGGAGCACCATGCCCACGGCGTGCTAACGCGCTTCTTCCAGTGCGAGCCACCGGCCGCCTCTTGGATGGTGCAGCCGCACTACCACCTGGCCACGGCCTTCCGCGCCGAGTGGGAGACACCGGGGGTTCAGGTGTCACAGAGCCCTCTGCACCTGGGCTTCCTGTGCGAGTACGACGCGCTGCCGGGCATTGGGCACGCGTGCGGACACAACCTAATCGCTGAGGTCGGGGCAGCGGCGGCGCTGGGCTTGAAAGGGGCTCTGGAGGGCCTCCCCGGGCCGCCTCTGCCGGTAAAGGTGAGCCCCCCCCCCCAGACGTGGAACTCCCATCACCTGCCCCATCAGGTACCTACACGGGGATGGAAAGGCCTGCGCGTATTCCGTGCACACCTGTATCCTCCCTCCCCAGGACTGGTGTAAGGGATGGCACTGGGCAACCTAGCCTCGTTTGTGCCCGAAGGCAGAACCGTTAGATAAAACCAGAACTTTCAGATATGGCGACGCTGCACATTTTGGGGTTTCCTCGTGTCGTTGTAATGAATTGCGTGGGTTCTCCTTTATGAAAGAACTTAGAACCCAGCCTTTATACACGCGCACACACACACACACACACACACACACACACACACACAATTGCTTATGGTAGTTGTCCCATTCCCCCCCTCCCCATCCGATACCCCATTCCGTCATGCAATTCATGTCCACCCTTAGTTCATGTCCATAGGTCATGCAGGTAAGTTCTTTGGCTGCTCCATTTCCTATGCTGTTAACATCCCCCTGTCTATTCTGTACCTACCAATTTGTACTTCTTAAACCCTGAACCTTTTTCCCCATTCTCCCCCTTCCCCCTTTCAGCTGATTACCCTCCAAATGATATCCATATCTATGATTCCATTTCTGTTCTGCTTGTATGCTTAGGTTGTTTTTTCAATTCAATTGTTGGTAGTTGTGAATTTATTGTCATTTTAATGTTCATAGTTTTTATCTTTTTCTTAAATAAGTCCTTTTAACACTTCATATAATAGCGGTTTGGTGATAATGAACTCCTTTAGCTTTACCTTGTCTGGTAAGCACATTATCTGTCCTTTGATTCTAGATGATAGCTTTGCTGGATAGAATAATGTAGGTTGTAGGTCATTGCTTTTCATCACTTTGAATACTTCTCACCAGTCCCTTCTAGCCTGCAAAGTTTCTTTTGAGAAATAGGCTGACAGTCTTATGGGAACTCCTTTGTAGGTAACTCTCTGCTTTTCTTTTGCTGCTTTTAAGATTCTCTCTTTATCTTTAGCCTTTGGCAATTTAATATGAAGTGTCCTGGTGTGGTTCTCTTTCTGTCCATCTTGTTTGGGACTCTGTGCTTACTAGATTTGTATGTCTATTTCCATCACTAAATTAGGGAAGTTTTCTTCCATTATATTCTCAGACAAATTTTTGATTTCTTGCTCTTTCTCTTCTCCTTCCACATCCCTACCACCCCTATGATTTGAATGTTGGTACGTTTGATGTTGTCTCAGGGGCTCCTTAGTCTATCCTCGTGGGGTTTTGGTTTGTTTGTTTTATTTATTTATCTTTAGAGAGGAAGGGAAGGAGAGAGGGAGAGAAATATCAATGTGTGGTTGCTTCTCATGCGGCCCCTTGCTGGGAACTGGCCTGCAACCCAGGCATGTGCCCTGACTGGGAATCGAATTGCGATCCTTTGGTTCTCTGCCCCACACTCAATCCACTGAGCTACACCAGCCAGGGCTATCCTTGTTTTTTGTATTCTTTTTTCTTCTTGCTGTTCTGATTGAATGGTTTTTTTCTTCCTTTATGTTTCAAATCACTGAGTTGATTCTTGGCTTCATCCACTCCACTGTTGATTGCCTGTGAATTTTTCTTTATTTCACTAATATGTAACCTTCATTTTTGCCTGGGTCTTTTTTATGGTATTGAAGTACCCAATGAGTTCCTTGAGCATCCTAATAACCAGTGTTTTGAAATCTGCTCCTGATATATTGCTTATCTCCATTTTGTTTAGTTGTTTTTCTGGAGTTTTATTCTGTTCTTTCATTTGGGCCATGCTTCTTTGCCTCATCATTTTGGCAGCCTCCACGTTTGACAGCCTCCCTGTGTTTGTTTCTGTGCATTAGGTAGAGCTGCTTTGACTCCCTGTCTTAGTAGCATGGCTTATTTTAGCAAAGGCACCTGCAAGTTGGATGGAGCAGAGCCTTAGATAATTGCCTGGGCGGGGAAGCCTGTGTGAACCAGGTCGATGGAGCCTCCAATGTGGTGTCTCCCTCCTCTCTGTGTCTCTGTGGGGAGAGCTCAGAAAGAGGTCAGTGCAGTTGCCTGGTCTCTGGAGTTTTGTCCAGGAGGAAGCTGTCCCCTGGCACTCGCCCTGATGCCAGACTCTTCACTTTTTCCCCATTTGCCACTGGTGCCCTTCAAGCCATTGCCCTGGTATACCCTGGTGTGGGAGTCCAGAAGGAGTGAGTCTGCAGGCCCTAAGTCATAAGTTCATTGTGGTTCCTTTTAGAGGAGATGCCTGAAAAATCCTGAAGTTTCTTCTGCTGCCCCAAGCCCCACTGGTTTTTACAACCAGAAGTTATGGGGACTTAACTTCTTAGCACTGGAACCTTAGGTTGGGTGGTCTGGTGTGGGGCTGGGATCCCTCTATCCCCAGAGGTATCCCCACTATTTTTTATCTACCACAGGTGGGTGCCCACTTTCTGGATAAATGTGGTAGTCAGACTTCTAAACAGCTTGATTTTCTGACAATTCTGGGGGATAGTTGGTTTTTTAAAAATATTTATTTATTTTTGGAGAGAGGGAAGGGAGGGAGAAAGAGAGGGAAAGAAATGTCAATGTGTGGTTACCTCTTGTGCACTCCCAACTGGGGACCTGACCTGCAACCCAGGCATGTGCCCTGACTGGGAATCGAACCAGCCACCCTTTGGTTCACAGGCCGGTGCTCAATCAACTGAGCCACACTAGCCAGGGCAAGGTGATAGATGTTTTGTAGTTTAGTTGTAATTTTTGCTGTGGTTGTGTGAGGAGGCAAGCTGAGTTTACTTCGGCCTCCATCTTGATTGGCCCAGCCCGGTTTTCCTCAGGGCTTATTTTTAGTAACAGAGGCTGACACTTCATTTGCAGACTAGGTTGTGCAATCTCCAGTGGAAGTGCTTATTGTAGGGAAACACACAGCCCCTCTTCACATTAGGCTCCCCCCAAATTTTTGTTTGTGGCAGTCATAGGATATTATCAGTCATTAAAACTACCAAACCTCTAGAAATACACCAAAAACAGGGAAGTGAATGAACATTTACTGCATAATTAATTGATCTTTTTGTTAATGTTTATTAAATGGTTTTAATAAGTATCTCAGTTCTTTAAATAGGGAAATGTCATTTATGTTTATCATAGGGCAAGTTTAATCTTGTGTTACTGTTTTCCTAGGTGGTAAATTCTTCCTTCTGTGAGCTAAGATGTAATCATCACCATTCAGGTTGAAGGAAAGACTAATGTTTTTATTTTATTCTTTAGCTGATTTTTTCCAATACCAGTAACCTTTCACTTTTATCCTAACTTTCCATCTTTTGTGACTTTTTTTGTTTAGGCGCCTTCTCTTTTCCACCCCTGGGGGTTTGTTTTTGAATCTGGTTGGGTTTTTGTTTTGTTTGGGATGGGGCATCCTTGAACCCTGGAGCGATGTAGCTTTGACCGGGTTTATGATAAATTCAGGGAAGTCAGCAAGATTTAACTTGGAAGCCATCAGATACATGATCTTGAAAGTATATTAGTTGTTTAGAGATCATTTTTTTGCTTTAAAAATTGTTTGAAGGAGTTAAACATAAATATCAAAGTAAAATGTTTATTCCACAAAGTTTCCTGTTGTTTAATGAGGTGTTAAGTGATCAATAAATCTGCCTGGTTGAACTGTTAGACTCGAGTTAGTAATTTTGTGTAATAGCTGGCTTCTTTCTAACCATAGCCCTAAGATTTATTTCATGCTCTTCATAAAGGATTAACGAATTAAGTTCTTTTAATGAGGTAGTTCAGTAAAGAACAGGTCTGAACATCTAGTGCCAGCCCCCCTCGAAAACCCACGCTGTGACCAAGAGCAAGAGTCGCCACTTCACCCTGTGCCTCCAAACCACCCTTCCTAACCTAATGACACAGATTTCTCACCTACCTCACACGGTTGTCATGGGGGAAACCAATAAGTAACTGGGGACTTCCTAACAAATAAAGTGCTTACGAATAGTTATGTAAATGCATTAAAAGAAAAAGCTGTAAGAAATGAGTCAGAGAATGTTGAGGAACTTAGTATATAGCATTTATCTTTTTCATTTTTGTCAGTAAGTAGTTACATAAAATTGAGTTGTAAAATTAGGAAAAGCTTCCTGTAATGGCTTTAGTACATACTTAACACCAAATTGTATAATAGTGCACATTAAAACTTGTGATTACTGTAGCACCACCGAGGTGTGCCCAGGCATTATTTTAGTGTCAGAGAAGAACACATCTCTCCACGGTGTAATGTAGATTGTGAGAACATGGGCAAGAGATGCAAGGGAACTTGTTTGATATTTGCCTACTAGGATTTTTTGTTGTTTTGTCCTGACACAGGTATTTCCTTCTAGGTAACTGTCCTGGGAACCCCTGCAGAAGAAGATGGTGGTGGCAAGATTGACTTAATTGAAGCAGGGGCTTTTAAAAATCTTGATGTTGTTTTCATGGCGCATCCATCCCAAGAAAATGCTGCCTATCTGCCTGATGTGGCTGAACACGAGTAAGTAATCAGTCAAGTTGAAATGAACTTCTTAGTGGAAAACAGGCCCTTAGAATACTTCAATGTCCTTTTTTTTTAAATTTTAGAAGAACAAATTTATTGGCTCGTAGTTTGGAGATGTGAAGTCTAAAATCAGGTGACAGGGCCAGGGTCCACCTGGGACCTGTAGGGGAGGGTCCTTCCTGCCTCCTCTGGCTTCTGACAGCCCCAGACATAACTCGGCCTGTGTCAGCATAGTTTTAATCTCTGTGTCTGTCTTCACACTGCCTCCTCCCTGTCTCTTCACACCGTCTTTCCTCTGTGTCTCTAAAATACTTTTATGTCTTAACTGGAGACTAACACCCCATAGTTATAGATTTAAAAAGTAAATTGAGCCCTGGCCAGGTGACTCGGTTGTTTGGAGCGTCGTCCCCGTACACCAAAAGGTTGCGGTTTCCATCCCCAGTCGGGGCACGTTCCTAGGTTGTGGGTTCGATCCCTGCTCCAAGCACATACCAGAGGCAACCAATCAGTGTCTCTCTCTCACATAGATGTTTCCCTCTCTCTCCCCTCCTCTCTAAAATCAAGTAAAAAGAAAAATGTCTGTAAGTGAGAATTTAAATAAATAAGTAAATACACAAATGAAGTGAATTGAAAGATAATGATACTATGTCTTTATTTTCGTTGAATCATCTGCTAAGCCTCTTCCAAATGAGATTTCATATGAAACTCATAACTGGGTTATTAAAATAATGCCTAAAAAGTATAAGAATAGCAAATAGATATGTTGACTCTTCTGTTTTGAACTGAGAGTGATCTGGTTTCTGGAGAGCAGCCTTTGATACGGTTTGTGAAAGGCAGCCTTATTACATGTGGGAAGAAAACACACTTCTCTAGTTTGCTTATTTTAATTTGAATGTTTTGCAAAGAAGATAAATTCCTGAGCAATAATACAGAAACTGACTAGCCATGGATTTTAGTGGAATTTGACAATCTATGCTTTTCTGATGTGTCTGGTACTAAATCCTGTTTTGGATTGTTTGCTATGTAGAAAAGCTCGCTTTTTGGGGGATCTAGGAGCATGCGTTATTGAAGTGGTTTGAATTTTGTGGACCAGAACTTCCAACCACTAGGGCTTGTTTTCAGAGGGTGCCTGTTATACCTGTTCTGGTATCTTTGTTGTTTTCACTGGGAATTGGTGCTGTAACAGTCGTCAGAATCTCTCAACTCTGGTTTCAGGAGTAGAGTGCACTGGTATGTCTCTGGAAGACCTTAGTGATCTGAAATCTCTGCCAGTGCCTCTGGCTGGGAGGGGCCTGCCAGTGCAGGCAGGCTTCCCAGCCCATTAGCTTTCTAGGGCTTAGGGTTAGGCTTCTTGGCCTTGATCCTAAACTCAGTCCAGTGGGCCACAGGCCTTTTCTTAGTGTCTGGCTTCTTAGATTTTTTTTACTGGCCATCTTTTCAGATGGAAAAGAGAGCAAGAACAAAAATTAAAATTCAAAAAATTACTTATCTGTTCATCCTAAATATCTGAAACAGTAAATAAGATGTCCCTGTTGACCACCTTTCCCACATCTAGTCCCTTTTCTAGAGGTAAGTATCCTTCCAGGGATTTTGGGTGTATTTATGGACATTTGTAGGTACATGTATAAATTAAATTTTAGAGGAGGGTTTACACCCTGAAGTATTCTGCTAAACAAGTTATTAGTCTGGTTATTGCTTTTTAAAATTAAGCAGCATGTCTTGAAAATCATTCCATATATGCTTTTAAAGTCAAAAATACTAGCACTGATATAAAACATTAACATTTATTTTCTTGTGGTTTATTGTGCTTTAATTCTGAACCATAGAAGAAATGTGCTAGAGTCATTTTCATAAAGGACATCCTTTTGCATTCTATAAATTTATCATTGTTCTGTTAAAATTCCAGTTTCAGGGTGATGGTGATAAGATGGAATTAACAAATGTTGTCAAATCTTGAAAATATATTTGGCTGCTCTCATGTGTTTATGTTTTCCTGACAGAATGTTTGGAACCAGTCAGGAAATACCATAAGCACATGATCATTGTACAGATTCCTGAATCTAGCCCATTTAAAAAAAAATAGAGTCAGGAGTGGCTTTTTATCATTTAAATGTGGGTAATACTAATCAGTTGGGCTTTAAAATATTTTCTAAGCAACTCATCTTTGTAAATAACTAATATGCGATCCTCTCACTAAGCCTTTTTTTTACTGTATCTGAGTAGTTAGACTGGTATGAGAACTATTCGAAGGCATCGTTGATACAGATATTTTGGAACATTAATAAAATGTTGGTCAGGAACAACTGACTTAATACTATCATGTTAGAACAATCTGATTTCCAGAGTTTGTCCTAATCCATTTCAAATGTCACCTTTCTCTCTTCTTGACCTTCTCCCACCCTTGAGACAGAGCTATCTGAGTTTTTGCAGACCTTTGATATAGAACCATCACAATGAAGTAAGGAGATAGGAGTCATCTTTTTTGTAACTCTAGCACCTAATACAATTCGTTTGAATTGAGTTGTGTACAAATTTAACTTGTATAGGCAATTGATTGATCACAGTTTCTCTTTTTCTCTCTTTTTTTGGACTCTCTTCTTTGTGCCAGTCACTGTATCATGTGATAAAATGCTACAACTAAGCTACGTGTGTCGCTGTTATTGCTACAAATGATTTGCAACTAAAACTTCTAGTGGTGTGAATTCATTTGAATACTAGCTGGATAACTCTTACTACTTGGATTTTCTTACTTCAGTGATTTTGAAAAAAGTAATCCCAGATGCTGTTTTATTTCCTAGTGTCACTGTGAAATACCATGGAAAAGCGTCTCATGCTGCTGCTTACCCCTGGGAGGGAGTCAACGCGGTCGATGCTGCTGTTCTCGCATACAACAACCTGTCTGTGTTGAGACAGCAAATGAAACCAACCTGGAGAGCCCATGGTATGAATGTCAAATATTTTGTGGTGTTCCATACACTTTAATACAACGTAACTACTTAATATTTTATTTTTTTAATTGAAAACATTTTATGTACTTAATACGTATATTCCAGAATATGTAAACATTGTCAGAAATTGCATAACAGGATACTAAGAAGTTTGTCTATCTGTGGGTAAGAAGACAACTGAGATGATTATTAAACAGAAATGGAGCCCTGACTGGGGTGGTTCAGTGGATTGGGCATCATCCTGCAAACTGAAAGGTCACTGATTTGATTCCCTGTCGGGGCTTGTGCCTGGGCTGCAGGCCAGGTCCCCAGTTGGGAGCGTGTAAGAGGCAACCAATCAATGTTTCTCTTGCACATCAATGTTCCCCTCCCTCTCTTTTTCCCTTCCTTCCCCTCTCTCTAAAAATAAGTAAATACATCTTTAAAAAAAACAAAACAAATAGAATGGTCATTTTGAGTATTAGAAGTCAGTAGTTTTATGTAAAGACCTATGTTCTTTCTGTGGTTGTTTCAAAGTTGGAACTTAATTTTCCAGTTGTCCTGTCTCTGATTGATAACAAAATTTTGTCATTTCCTCAATTTAAAAAATTGAGGAAATACCGGTTTTATTTACTCAAGTGTTGTTAATCCTAAGTAGCATCTTTTAAAAATTATGTGTATCACCTTAATATAAATACAGTAATAAAGTACTGTCTTGAAGGTATATAGAAATTTATTTTTAGTTTATTTTCTTATGAATTGGGAAATTATTGTATCTCAATACTTTAATACCTGTTTTTACCTGATTTTGCTATAGGTGTAAATTAGTTTATAGCCACACTCTTACCAATCTCCTATCTTTCTTTAAAAGAAAAAAGCAGGAATATGTAAAAAAATGCTTTTTAAAACAGTTCATATAAAATTAGATTTTGCGTATCTGTTTTAGTTATAATTTTGAATGGATAAATCTTCCTTCTCTGTGTAGGTCCAAATAAACGCATTTAACAGTTAATAGTACTTGGTGATCTTTGACACATTGTTTTATTCTTGGCATGAAAAGTATTTTCCCAGAGCCAAATGCCTTTTAGAATACTCATGGGATTTTTGAAGTACAGAGTAATTATAGAACTTTACACCATTGTTTTTTTCCCATGTCAAAAGTTTATCAAAATGTACAGTTGTTATATAAGCTACTGAAATAAAAGTACTTTCCAGAAGGCTTAATATAGTTATAAAATTCTAACACTTTTTTGTAGTCAGGAATCATAGTTTTTTATAAACTCCTTAGAATAAAGTACATATAGACGATTATTTATTTTCCTATTAGCTGGAAAGTATCACCCCATGGTATGTAGAAACTTCTGTTGTACAGTGAAATCTTTGATTGGTATATGTGTGAAGCAAATAATTTTAAATTATTTTTTATGCACATATTGGCTAAAAAATGTTATGGGTGTATTTAAGCTTAAAGAAATGGTCTCCAAGCCCCAAGCTCAATTCCAGTAATTTGGTTCTTTTTATAGGCATAATAAAAAATGGTGGTGTAAAACCCAATATCATTCCCTGTTATTCTGAATTAATCTATTACTTCCGTGCACCCTCAATGAAAGAACTTCCAGTTTTGACCAAAAAGGCAGAAGATTGCTTCAGAGCTGCAGCTTTGGCTACTGGATGCACAGTAAGAACTTTTCAGAGTTATTCTATATTATAATTAGAAGTATATATGTGGGCTGGGATTGTTTATATTAAGTTAGATTAGCACCTTAGTTCCTTCTTTTTCTCCCGGTGATGTCTCAGATGTGTAGCATCAGTGGTCTGAATGTCGATGTGAAAGTCTTTACTTACTTTACTCAGTGTGTGCACAGGGCAGCCTGTGGTCATCTTGTCACACAGTAATTGGAATAACTGATACTGCTGAGTAGAATCCCTGCCTGTTGCAAGTTATATCCTTCCTTATTGGTAGTTATGCTTTTAGAATTGCTCTACATAGTTTCTATAAAGGAAATTTTGTGGCACAATCAGCAAAAGCTATTTTTGGCCAAGTTCTAGATACGTATAGTAGAGATATAAATACTTAGGGCTTGCCAGAATGAGAGTTGAAACAGACACAGAAGTTAGTCAGGAGGTGGTGTTCATTTGCACCACGAAGTCAGAAACACTTGTGTACCAATTATATGTGGCGCACAGTATGATAAGTTACAGAATGACGTAAAGTTAGCCCTGCTGGGAGCCAGCAGTCTAATTGGAGAGACAAGATCTGGATGCATGCCTCTCAGCCTCACTGATTCTGCAACTTTTGGAAACGTTATTTAATATCTCTTGGCCTCCATTTCCTCAGCGGAAAATGGAGATAACATTACCTCATTTTTTCTGAGAATTAAATGAGGTAATGTTTCTGAAGCATTAGGGTCTAACCCTCATAGGTAACATAATACCTGGTTTTTCTCTGCCCTCATTAGACTGGAGACGTACGATGTATTCAGAGAAGCGGCAATGTCTCAGACAGTGACGGCGACTCTCAGACAGGATGTGTTACGTGTCCAAAGAGTAAAAGATTAAGCATTTACCCCTTGTTTATTTATAATTATGAATATCTGAATATTTATTTATGAAATAAATACATGAACTATTATTGTTAGGTGGTATCTCAAAATATAATATTCCCTTAATATAAGATTAATTGTTATTGGATTTAAATTTATATTTTAAATTGTCTTTGAGTAACTTTTTATTTTGGCTGACTTGTAATATCTGATTAGTTTATCATAGTTTCTAACTTACAAGGTCTGTTCAGAAGGTATCCAGCCAAGTAATATGGAAAATAGAAACATTTGCCCTGGCTGGTGTGGCTCAGTGGATTGAGCACCAGCCTGCGAACCAAAAGGTCGCTGGTTTGATTCTCAGTCAGGGCACACGCCTGGGTTGTGAGCCAGGTCCCTGGTAGGGGGCATGTGAGAGGCAACCACATATTGGTGTTTCTCTCTCTCTCCTTCTCCCTCCCTTCCCTTCTCTCTAAAAGTAAATAAATAAAATCTTTAATTAAAAAAATTTATTGAAGAAGATACAAGAAACATAGGACAATGACACCTCAGTCCCCTTCAAAGTAGACACTTTGGGACCTCACATAGTTCTCCCAATTGCCATCAGCTGCCCTGTCATATTTTCCTGAATCTCATCGATGTTCTGAAATCTCTTCCCTTTCAAGGGTGATTTTAGTTTTGGGAAAAGCCAGACATCCCAGGGTGCCAAATCTAGGCTATAGGGGAGCTAGGTCACCTGGGTGATTTGATGTTTCTCAAAAAAACTCTGCACTAGACGTGATGCATGATCTGGCATGTTGTTGTAAGGAAGCTGCCAATCACCAGTTGCCCATAGCTGCGGCCTTCTCAATTATCCAAACAGTTTCTGCAGAGGAATGTTAAGCTTAATGCAAAATTTGATGCAGATTCATTGCTCTACTTACTCAGGCATTTTGAATGCTATAGCCATGTTCACTTAATAAATTCTAAGTACAGTGAAGTCATCATTGTTCACACATTCCAGTCCACTCTCCTTGGCCATCAGGTTACACTGATGTCACATAAACTGTTCTCATTAACAAGGACTGGACTTTTTCCAGACAAACCTTGTAGATGTTAGAAGAAATGTCATCTCTGCCATTTTATAAGTGGCTTTTGCTAATACACTAGGTGTTGTCTTTAGTTTGAGGGAATAGTGTCCATTTTGATTAAATCAAGACTAAATTTGTAAATTGTAAGTCTTTTTTCTCAGAGTACTTTTACTCCTTTCAGACCAGGCAGTGGTGTGAATATCAGTTTGTGTGTTGAATATTAGTAAAGTTTAATGTGTTTCTTGCAGAGGCGACAGCCTAAAGCAGTGTTTGTCAGAGTGTGGTTTTTGGATCACCTGCATCAGAGTTACTTGGGAGTGCTGGTTGGATTGGAGATTCTGACTACCCCCACACCCTACTTAGGTGACGGAAGTGGAGACCCACTGGCTAGCAGAACTAGGGGACTTCATGTGGTTTGGCTAGCAGAACTAGGGGACTTCATGTGGTTTGGTGCATACATAGCAAAGGAGATAGAGTCCTGGGAACTCTTGTTACAGAAAATGCATGTTTTTATAAGATAAGAGATTTGAGAGAGTTTATGTTCAGAGGGAAAGTGGACCCTCTTAACCCCTTTCTATTAAAAAAAAGATAGCTGGTTTGAAATTTAGATAGTGAATTTGATTTTTTATTTCAAAATATGTTTATAATTTTTTATTAGGTAGAAATTAAAGGTGGAGCACATGATTATTACAATGTCCTTCCCAATAAAAGCCTAAGGAAAGCTTATGTTGAAAATGGGGAAAAGCTGGGAATAGAATTCATTTCAGAAGATGATGCTGTTTTGAATAGCTCTTCAGGTAATTAAGTTCTTTATTGTGCTATTTGAGGGAGGGAAAATATCTTTTATTAAATAGTTTTATTTAACAGCTTTGAAGGTAGGGAGGTATTGATGTTTTAACGATATTTTTCACAAATTTAATGGCTAGGGGAAGGAAACTAATAAACTCTTTAGTGAGTGTAGAATATCAAATGAGCAGATTTGTTTTTAGAAATAGCTGACATACCTTTTGCTTTATATTCTAAATATTTTTGGTGTTTAAATGTGCTCAGTTCTAATGTTTTATTTTTTAATTACAGTTAACATACAATATTATGTTGTATGTTTCAGGTATATAACCCAGTGATTGGGTATTATATAACTTAATAAATGATCACCCATTACAAAAACAGCTTTAAATAAGTTATTAAAAGGGAAAATAGAATTTTAATTCATTCTTACTCATCAATATGCAGTCTTTAGTAACTTTTTAACTTTAAAAAGTAACTCTTAACTTTAAAAAGTTACTAAAAGGGAAAATAGAATTTTAATTCATTCTTACTCATCAATATGCAGTCTACTAAGTACTCAGTTATATGGGGTCATTTTCCATTTCTGAGAAGTAATAAGCAACTATTAAAATTTAAATAAACATAAGTGTATAAGGAGTTATTTTAGATTTTTCTTCTAATAATATTATTAATACATTTGCATCTTAGAGATTTCTCTCCTAAAATATAATAATAAATGTTGATGAAGTAGACTGAGAAAGACTTGGTGGTAAAAATGGGGTGCCACTGTCATTTATTAAGAGAAGGAGTTCCAGAAAATGAGCAGGTTCGGGTGTGGACGGCTGGTATAAATAATTAGAATGTTAAATTTGAAACGCTTACAGGATTTCTAAGGGGAGCTGTCCAGTAGCCTCTTGAATCTGGAACTCTCAAAAGATGTTTAGATTGAAGATTTAGGAGTTGTCAGTATCTGAGTGGTAATTGAAAACAGTTGGTGAGGTTGCCAAAGAAACCTTAGGTCTGGGTCACTAACACTTAGGAGACAAGCAAAGGAAGGGATCTAGAGAAGGAGGCAGAGAGCAGTTACAGCAAGCCTGACAGTCAGGAGAGAGGGCAGTCCTGGAAGCCAAAGCAGCACAGAATTTCTAGAAGGGAAGGAGCCATATACATCATGACAGGTGCTGAAGAGAAAGAGATTGAAAAAGAGAAGATCTAATGTCTTATCTAAACACTAGACAAGACATCCAACTAGCAATGAGAAATTCATAGATTGTCTTACCTTCCCAAGGATCTACTGATTTTGGAAATGTTAGTTTCGTGGTTCCTGGGATTCATCCATATTTTTACATTGGATCTGATGCCTTGAATCATACAGAACAATATACTGAAGCTGCAGGTAAGTGTTATTAGAAGTGAATGTTTTGGCATGTGCTCTCTCTTTTTTTTTGAAGTAGACGCCTTTCTGGTTGTGTACTTTAGCCTATTATTCTTACATTACCTAACATCACCTCAGAAAGCACTGTATTGTGGGCAGTGGAGAGGCAACTTAAATACTGAGAGCTAACTTTAAAACTAATACACTAATTTATAGTAAATATGGACATAGTTCAATTTATTTACCGTCCCTTTTAGGGTCTCCAGAAGCTCAGTTCTACACGCTGCGCACAGCCAAAGCTCTCGCCATGACTGCGCTGGATGTTGTTTTTAAACCAGAGTTGCTAGAAGGAATCAGAGAGGACTTTAAACTGAAACTCCAAGAAGAAGAGTTTTTAAATAGAGTAGAATAAAAGGAAGATTGAGGAGCCACTTATGGATCCTTAAGAAATGGTAATGATTTCTTTTCCCGTAATCCTTTTTGATGAATGAGGAGGGCATGCTTATTTTTCAGTCTTTAAAGAGTCAAATTGCTCTTAGCTGAAAAGTGAGGCCATAGTGTGGAGAAAATACATGAACTTATAACTAAAATTAAAATGTTCAAAAATGTATATTTGATGTAATTGTGATCTTTCAGAAGCTGGTATATGGTACCATTTCTTAAACGAGCTGGATAATACATGGTATATCAGTGATAATAGTTTATGAATTCATATGTTGTGTAACTATATTTCAAAAGATCCTAGAGATTTCAGCCCTAATATTCAGAACTGATGGAAGATTTTTCTCTGGTATGGGGTGGTAAAAGTGTTTTATGAAGTAGTTTTAAAGTTCAAGTTCTGAATTTAGGGGAAGTTGATTTTGATGTCTGACTATGTTTGTTTTGATTTAAAGAATCTTTTCATTGATGATGAAAGTAGGATTTTAATCAGAAATGCTGTGGGAAACAACCAGAGACTCAGGAACAAAGAATAAGCTTTAATTTTACCATTTGAAGGGAGAATAAAATGTTCATCTTTTTATATAATTAACCCTGGGATGTGGCATTAAAATGTTATTCCTAATTCCATATGACTGCAATAGGAAAAATTATAGATGCATAATACTGGACTTCTCTTATAAGGTGTTTGCTTGGTAGCCTTCTAAGAGGACTTAATGTGAGAGGAACAATGTTTACTTATCTTGAATGTGAATGACATATCGCCACGCAGGTTTCTATTCAAAAAGCCAGCCTGTGCAGCCTGGCTGGACAATATTATAGTTTACTGAGTTTGGTGGATAGAATTCTAAGCTTCCTTAAGCCCTATGCTGGGCCCAATCTTAATTTTAAAATATTATAAGGGGTTTTTTTTTGGTTCTTATTTTAGTATGAATTTCTTGAACATGATAAAAGAATGTGAAAAAAAATATCTGGTAAAGCAAATATTTTGACCTGTGAATAGAGTAAAGCTTCAGAATGCTTTATTTTAAAGGGAGTCCTCAAATTTGAGGGTAAATATTTAAAAATGGAAGACAAAGGAGAGAAAAGTGATCATTTGGCCTCTGCTGTAAGCAAGTCACTCAGGCCCCTCTGAGCCTTCAGCACTCCGCTAGGGAAGTTAAAGTAAATCACTTACACTTATAATCTTTTGCACCTCTAATAGTTTGGGGGAGTGTTGCTTCTTGGAAATTGTTTATCTTGTATATCATGGTTCTGCAAACTACAATCTAGTTTCACAAGCAGCCTGATTTTATATGGCGAGTGTGCTAAAAACGATTTTTACATTTTTACATGGGTTGGTCGTGGGGAGTAGGGAAGGAACAGAGACCAGATGATGTGACCTCAAAACCTAAAAATATTTCCAATCTGGTCCATTACAAAAAAAATATCTGCCAGCTCCTATCCTGTATAACAGTAAAACAAAACCTGTTTCTCTTTGATTTACCTCATATAACCAGATGTCCTCCTAGGGTAAAACTTCAAGCCTCTGAATGGGAAACACTGGGAAAAGGGATGTAGATGGCAGTGCCCCAACTTGACCATGACAGTGCAGCAGTTTGTCCTTCTGGGCATTTTCAGAAGTTTGCTTTCTTTTCACCCTTACTTCAGGGATACCCTGACTTTGCCCTAGTAAGCCAGTCTAATAACTTTTCATCTCAACTTTTAGAAATTGATCCTGTATGCCACCCTTTGTCTGATTATTTATAATCTCAGAAAGTCATGGTTAGTACATATTTTACATATAGGGGAGGGATCAACAAAGGCCTCGGGCTGAAAACTGGAATGTCTGAGACCTCTGGTTTCCTAATGGTCAATTTTATAAATTTCTCAACTGGAAGTTTTAAATTCCTCCACTCAGGAATGTGTTTTTATTTTCTAAAGCCTTGATAACATTGTAGAACAGTGACTATTAACTGGTATCCGAACATACTAATACTCTCCAATCTTTTGTGAAGTTAATTGTTACTCATACAAAGTATTCATATTTTTCTTGTGAGTAAATTACTTTTTAAAACAAATTAGAAAAAATTCAAGATTAGCATTCTAGAGACTTCAGGTCAAGATGGAGGCATATGTAAACACGGACCACCTCCTCACACAACCACAGCAAAAATCACAACCAGATACAAAACAGCCATCATCCAGAATCATCAGAAAATCGAACTGTGTGGAAGTCCAACAACTAAGGAATTTTAAAAAATCACATTCATCCAGACAGATAGGAGGGATGGAGACACAAAATGGGTGGTCCCATACCCATGTGTGGTAGATAAAAATCTGGAAGGACACTTCAGGAGTGAGGGATCCCATCCCCTCACCAGACCACCTAGCCTAGGATTCCAGTGACAGGAAGATAAGTCCCCATGGCTTCTGGCTATAAAAACCAATGGGGTTTAGGGTGGCAGAAGAAACTGCAGGATTCTCAGGCATCTCCTCTAAAAGGGACCACAGTGGACTTAGGGCCCACACACTCATTCCATCTGGGCTCCGGCACTGGGGCAATAGCTTGAAAAGCACCAGTGGCATAAAGAGAGAAACTAAAGTCTGGCATCAGGGCAAGTGTGAGGGAACAGCTTCCTCCTAGACAAAACTCCAGAGGCCAGGCAACCGCATTGTCCCCTTTCTGAGCCCTCCCCCACACAGAGACACAGAGTGCCACACTATATCTGAGATTCCATCATCCTGGTTCACACAGGTTGCCCTGCCCTGGTAATTACCTAAGGCTCTGTCCCATCCAATTTACAGGTGCACTTTTCAACAATAGGTTATACTACTAAGACAGGGAGTCATAGCCACTTTACCTGATACATAGAAACAAACACAGGGAGGCTGTCAAAATGACAAAGCAAGGAAATAAGGTCCAAGTGAAAGAACAGAATAAAACTCCAGAAAAAAAAACTAAACAAAATGGAGATAAGCAATATATCAGATGCAGAGTTCAAAACACTGGTTATTAGGATGCTCAAGGAATTCATTGGGTACATCAATACCATAAAAAAGACCCAGGCAGAAATGAAGGTTAAATTTTAGTGAAATAAGGAAAAATTCACAGGCAATCAACAGTGGAGTGGATGAAGCCAAGAATCAACTCAGTGATTTGAAACATAAAGGAAGAAAAAAACATTCAATCAGAGCAGCAAGAAGAAAAAAGAATACAAAAAAAATGAGGGTAGGCTAAGGAGCCTCTGGGACAACATTAAAATGTACCAACATTCAAATCATAGGGGTGGTAGAGGTGTGGAAGGAGGAGAGAGAGAGCAAGAAATCAAAAATTTATCTGAGAATATAATGGAAGAAAACTTCCCTAATTTAGTGAAGGAAATAGACATACAAATCCAGGAAGCACAGAGAGTCCCAAACAAGATGGACACAAAGAGGACCACACCAAAACACATCATATTAAATTGCCAAAGGCTAAAGATAGAGAATCTTAAAAGCAGCAAAAGAAAAGCAGATAGTTACCTACAAAGAAGCTCCAATAAGACTGTCAGCTGATTTCGCAAAAGAAACTGCAAGCTCGAAGGGACTGGTGAGAAGTATTCAAAGTGATGAAAAGCAATGACCTACAACTTACATTACTCTCTCCAGCAAAGCTATCATCTAGAATCAAAGGGCAGATAAAGTGTTTCCCAGACAAAGTAATGCTAAAGGAGTTCATCATCACCAATCCATTATTATATGAAATATTCAAGGGATTTATTTAAGAAAAAGCAGATCAAAATTATGAACACTAAAATGGCGATCAATTCACAACTATCAACAGTCGAATGTATAAAAGAAACTGATCATTGCTTCTTGGCCTTTTGGCTAAGATCAAGTGTAGAAACTGAGCAAACAAGCAGAACTGAAACAGAATCATAAATATGGAGATCATTTGGAGGGTTATCAGTTAGGAGAGGGAAGGAGGAAAATGGGGAGAAATGTTCAGGGATTAAGAAATACAAATTGGTAGGTCCAGAATAGGGGGATGTTAAGAACAGTATAGGAAATGGCCCTGGCTGGCATAGCTCAGTGGATTGAGCGCGGGCCTGCGAACCAGAGTATCGAGGTTCGGTTCCCAGTCAGGGCATATGCCTGGGTTGCAGGCCAGTTCCCAGCAGGGGATGCATGAGAGTCAACCGTACATTGATGTTTCTCTCCCACTCTTTCTCCTTCCCTTCCCTTCTCACAATAAATAAATAAAATCTTTAAAAAAAAAAAAAACAGTATAGGAAATGGAGAACTTCCACCAAGATGGAGGCATAGGTGGAGACGCCGTGCTTTCTCCCACAACCAAGTTGAGAGACAACAAATATTAGCAACAGAAAACATAGCCAGAACTCAGAAAATTGAACTTTTCGGAAGTCTAATAACAACAAATTCTTCAGCCTTACCAGTAAGAGGGCCGAAGCCAGCAGCTGGCGGAGCGGGGTTGCACAGGAAAACTCAGTCAGACGGACTCAGGCGCGTGGATTCCAGGCAAGGGGTTGCAACGGGCAGACCCAGTGAGCGACCGGCATACCCAGCAAGGGTGCAGGGCGGCGGGTTGACTGTGGTCCCGCATTCATGCGCAGATAGACCAGCAAGGGAGTGGGCGGTGAGACGACTGGACCAAGCAGGCCCCAGTGGTGAGAGGCAGCAGAGGGGGCCGCCATTTCCCCACTCTGACCCCGCCCCCACATACAGCGTCACAACTCAGCGACCTAAGCGGCCCTGCCCTGGTGAACATCTAAGACTCTGCTCCTCACCCAGTGGCGGGGAAATAGCAGAGGGGGCCGCCATTTCCCTGCTCTGACCCTGCCCCCACATACAGTGTCACAAACCAGCAACCTGGGTGGCCCCGCCCTGGTAAACACCTAAGGCTCCCCTCCTCATAATTAACGGGCGTGAACAGACCAAAAGTGGCTCAAGAAGATCTCAAAGCCCCAGAGCCCATAAATCTAAGCAATGAAGAAATAGCCAAACTTTCAGATGCACAGTTCAAAACACTGGTCATCAGGATGCTCACAGAACTGGTTGATTTCAGTCACAAATTAGAGGAACATATGAAGGCTAAACTAATTGAAATGAAGGGAATTCCACAGGAAACCAATAGTGATGAAAAGGAAACTGGGACTCAAATCAAGGGAGTGAACCAGAAGGAAGAAAATAATGGCCAAACAGGAAAATATGAAGAAACAAGAATTCAGAAAAATGAGAAGAGACTTAGGAACCTCCAGAACATCTTTAAACACTCCAACATCTGAATTATAGGGGTACCAGAAGGGGGAAAGGAACAGCCACCAGTGGAAAACTTATTTGAACAAATAATAAAGGAGAATTTCCCCAATCTGGCAAAGGAAATAGACTTCCAGGAAATCCAGGAAGCTCAGAGAGTCCCAAAGAAGTTGGACCCAAGAAGAAACACACCAAGGCACATCATAATCACATTAGCCAAGATTAAAATGAAGGAGAGAATCCTAGAAGCAGCAAGAGATAAGGGGACAGTCACCTACAAAGGAGTTCCCATCAGACTGTCAGTGGATTTCTCAAAAGAGACCTTACAGGCAAGAAGGGGCTGGAAAGAGGTATTCCAAGTCATGAAATCCAAAAACCTACATCCGAGATTACTCTATCCAGCAAAACTTTCATTTAGAATTGAAGGACAGATAAAGCGCTTCTCAGATCAAATTCAAGAAGTTCATCATCACCAAGCCTTATTATATGAAATGTTAAAGGGACTTATCTAAGAAAAAGAAGATAAAAAAGATGAACAGTGAAAGGACAGCAAACTCACAGTTATTAAGAACCACACCTAAAACAAAAGCAAACTAAGAGGACAGCTAGATCAGGAGCAGAACCATAGAAATGAAGATCACATGGAGGGTTAGCAACAGGGGAGTGGGAGGAGGGGAAGGGGGGAGAAGGTACAGAAAATAAGTAGCATAGATGGTAGGTAGAAAATGGATAGGGGGGAGGGCAAGAATAGTATGGGAAATATAGAATCTAAAGAACTTGAGACACGTGGTCATAAACTAAAGGGGGAAATGGTGGGGGAGGGTGTGCAGGGTGGAGGGGAATGAAGGGGGGAAATAGAACAACTGTAATGGCATAATTAATAAAATATATTAAAAAAAGAATTCCTGAAATAAAGCAATTTTAAAAGAAAAAAAAAAAAAGAACAGTATAGGAAATGGAGTAGCCAAAGAACTTACATGCACAACTCATGAACATGAATTAAGGTGAGGCTTTCTAGCAAGAATGGGTGTACCAGGTGGATGGGGCATAGAAGAAAAATTGGGACAATTATAATAGCATAATCAATAAAATATATTTTAAAAAAGAGTAGCATTCTTTTGTTTCCCTTGCATCTGGTAATTACCCTTGTGTGAGAGAGCAAATTGGGGCACTGTGGCCAGCATGTTGGAAATAGGAGACCTGCACCAATGCCATCTGCCACAGCCTGTGGTGAGGACCTAATATTGATGTACCACTTAAGGTTTGGGTCACTTTTGAGTTTCTGTAATACTTCTTTTTCAGTTTTTGAAAGGTTCTGGTCCAAATAAGGGTTTACTTATTGGAATATACCATGGAATTATCATGTTGGAAAAGAGGTTGAGAACTGATGGTCTAGAGTCTATCTAGCGGTATAGGTTTTTTTCAGATCTTGACATTTTCCATTATTTTACTTAACAGTTTTTTAGTGTATTGCCAATTTAAAAATAACTATTTACTTTTTATATACCAGCAAATTAATCGAACTATATTGCACTGTAAAAGTGTACATCAATACATAAGTAAATGCTGGAGTCAAATTCTCACGTCCAGAGCAACCACCTGTAGCAAGTCTCCGTTACGCCATTTGAATTCAGAAGAGTGCTTCCTTTCACAGTGGTAGTTTTCCTGTTGGAACGAAATTTTTACTTTACCCTCATACTCCAGTGGCATGCTTTCTAAATAACTGTGCTAAATTTTCTTACATGTTTATTCTAGGCTTAAATTATTAGTGTTGGCTGGTTGGTTGGTTGGTACATTTTTAATTAAATTTTCAAAGATTTTGAAAGTTAAAGAGCTTTCAAAAGTTAGAGTATAGATGAAATTAGAGTATAGGTGAACTGTCACTTTTAGAAGGGTTATATTTAGCTCTTTGTACTTAAGAGATGTGTGCTTATTTTTAGAAGGCTGACAAATGAATGGGACTTCTAAAATTTTATACTTTTGTATCTTGTTCTTGAGGAAGGAGTCAACAAAGTTTTTCTCCCAGAATTAGTTAGATTCAGTGAATATATATATTCCATTATTCTTTCACTGGATTATATATTTTTGAAGCCAGAGTCCTTTCATTTCAGATACACCAAAAACCTGACTCAGGTGGGGGAAAAGGGCCAAGATGACTTAGTACAAAGTTTAAAACTTTATAATTCCTAAAATACTGAATTAGTTTCTAACCTCAACTAGAGGTATTGGTGGATATGCTTGATGTCTTTGTTTTTATGGAAAAATGATTTTATTACATGCCTTTTGCAAAGCCTTTTTCTCAAATATCAACTTTTGCCTCTTGATATTAAAAGGTATAACCCAATTTAGTGATTTAAATTTAATTACAGGTTGAAAATGTTTTCTCTTTAATGACTTAATTTTAAAAGCAGTCTTGAATGCGGGCATGTTCAAACAATCTCATGGTACTATTAATAAATAAGTTGCTATTTATCATATAAGATTGAGTATAGGGAATATTTAGCTTGCCTCTTAAAATTTTCAGTCTGCTTTTCAGTTTCAACAAACTATTCTTATATGAACTATTCAGGAAATATTTCTCTTTTAATTGCTTTTCCTATAAGAGCTGGGACACTTAGAATAAACTAGAACATTTTCCTGTGTTTATGAATACTTGTATCAACTGTGTTTTGGTTCCCACAATCCTCAAGGATCAAGGACAATTTATTTATTATTATGCTATATTGGTAGTTTAACCATTACTTTTAACAGTGGAGTTCAGTGAACATTTATTGAGGAGTGCCTACCTCTCAGTACTTCAGGCTAAAGCTAAGGAAGAGTAAGCCCTGGCTCACGCCCCGGAAGCTGGTGGTTGGTGACACATTCTCATAAGATTTACTTCATCTGAACAACACTGGGATTCAGGGAACATTTGAAAGCTACTGTCTTGGAAATGTTGAGGAAATGTTTAGAAGATAATGAAAAATACTTGCTTGGCCAGAAAAAAATTGATATAAAAAGCCTTTTTTAAAAGAATGATTGTCTTATTTTATAATATGCTCTTTTAGAAAAAAACCTTCCTGATAGTTTTTGTGTTTTATACATTTCTAACTTTTTTTACCTGAAGCATCTCTTTAGTCTTTTGAAAAATGCCCTTCATAGTACTAACCTTCAAGCTCTGAAAGCAAATTTTTATTGTAAAAGGAATTGATTATCTTTGTGCTAGCTAGCAATTCCATAAGGCTGTAAAGTGTGATGAACTTACTTTATTTTTTTACATACTCTAGCAAGTATTTTGTAATCTAGTTAAGTAGTTGAGAGTGGTGCATCTTGATATGTATGAAGTTAGTAATTACTGTCAACTACCACCAGGTTGTAGTATTTTTAAAAATATTTTATGTATTTATTTATTTTTAGAGAGAAGGGAAGGGAAGGAGAAAGAGAGGGAGAGAAACATCAGTGTGTGGTTGCCTCTCATACACTCCAAACCAGGGACCTGGCCTGCAGCCCAGGCATGTGCCCTGATTGGTAACCAAACCGGCGACCCTTTGCTTACAGGCTTGCACTAAATCCACTGAGCCACACCAGCCAGGGCAGTTTGTAGTAGTTTTAAAAATATTTTAAAATGTATTAAAGTATGTATAAAAATGTAGAATGTTAATAAAAATATTTTATTAGCTATTGTCTTGTGTTTTTTAAACATTATATCTATAATGAAAATATATGAAGATAAAACAGAGTCACCCAAATACACTGTTTCATGCTTTATTTATCAGCACCGTAGATGTTGGTGTGTTTTTAAACTATAAATGTCATATTTTTCATATGATAAGAATTTTAAAGAACAATTCAGTCCTCTTGTTTAAAAATGAATGTTTTACTAGTGTCAGAAGCTGAAAAATACCAAAGCAAATTATACATGGTAAAGTTAGGTAAATAACTATAGTATTGAGTTTTCTTTAAAATATTTTTCAACTTTAAAGCAATTTAATATAATAACTCAAATGTGATAGAATAGTTTATTAGAT